CCATGGGCCCCCTGCCCGCCCCGCCTTGTCCCAAACCCCAGTGCAACTCTGACGACTACATCCCGATGAACGGAGGATGCTTCTCTAGCCCACTGCCTATGCTGCCTGCAAACATGGAGCCTCCCCCAGTGAATAGAGATCTCAAGCCTGAGAGGAAAGGTAAGCCATTCGAGCAGGACTACTGTGCAGGAGAGGGGTGCAAGGCCTGGCAGCCATGTGAAAATTTCCTTCCCGACCTTCTCTGGGAAGGAAGCCTTAGAGCAGCGGTCCCCAACCTTTGTGGCACCAGGGACCGGTGCTCCTATGAGAATCTAATGCCCGATGATCTGAGGCGATGATGCTAGCACTGGGGAGTGGCTGCAAGTACAGATGCAGCTTTGCTCCCTCACCCGCCACTCAACTCCTGTCTGCAGCCTGGTTCTTCACAGGCCACGGACCCGTACGGGTCTGCAGCCCGAGGGTTGGGGACCCCTGCACTAGAGAAACCATTCTAGAGGATTGGGAAGTATAAGAGCGAGGATCAAAAGGGAAGGGCTGGGGAACCTTGCTGCCCCAGATCATCACAATTAAAGGAATCAGGGGACTTACAGACACCATGGCCCTGGAAATACAGCCTACAAGGCCAAGTTCGTTCCAGGGGGCTCATTTTGGCTGCATCCCTAACAAAGACCCAGAAGTGAGCGATGATGGCTGGGAGCAGAACCTCCCTGACATCTCTTCACGTAAACAGCACTCGAATGTCAACACAGTGCCCTCCTCCTGTAAAACAGCCAAAAATGGCCTTTGACACTAATTTCTGAATGTCAGACCTGGTTATGTGCAACTTAGCACTCGCCGACTCTCTGTGTTTGCCTATCAGCAGAGGTGTTCGGGGTGGGGGGGGGGCTGAGGACTTTGGCAGTGAGCGGTCTGGCTCCTATTTGCACAGAGCCCCTTGAAGCATCTGCATTTATCTCAGGCAGCTTTTCTGGTCTGCTAAGCAGCACGGATAGGCAGAGGGAAGGAGAAAAGGGATAGAAGAAAAGCAGGTCACAGTAACTTTCTAACTTCATCCTTGCGCACTATCACCTGCTCAGTAGGGCCGTGTGATTCCAAAGAAATATCCGATCCAATGACCGTGACCTCTGACATTCCCATCTGGTACATTCCCACCTCTCTTTGCCCTTCGGAAAAACTACTGCTTCAGCTGGCAGTGCCCACAGCTGGCAGCTAAGTCCCTTACTCACGCCCGGTGTGTCCTAGTCTCACCCCTTCAGTTTGAGTCAAGTCACATTGACAACGTCTGCCGTGTGCGTAACGCTGTGCGAGACGCTGGGTGGGATGAATGATGAGGAAGCAAGGAGGGTTCTTCAGTGTGAGGGGGCTGAAGATATACAAAAACCATCTGGAAGAAGAAGAATTATGAAGTCGGTACTAAATAGGAGAACAGACCCTGTCTTATGAGGTTCAGAGGAAATAACCATTCATTCTGGTCAGAAACAATTTAACAAGGACCTGTAACTTGGAGGTATGTACTATTGTTTTGTTCGATTCATTTTCTCTAGCAGTGCTGTCCGGCAGAACTTTCCGTGATGATGGAAATGTGGCCATCGAATACTCGAAATGTGGCTAGTGTAACTGAGGAACGGAATCTTCAATTTTCTTTCATTTGAATACATTTTAATTTAAATCGCCACATGTGGTTGTGGCTACCCTGCTGGACAGTGCAGCTCTCTAGAACCTGGTGATCAAAGGCATAAAGATAACAAATGGACTTGGGGTTGGAGAGTCATTTGGTGGGTGTGAAGGTGGACGCCTAGGCCAGGAGAAGCTGCTTTTCTGGCAGGGTGGATGCAGGGATGGACCATGGGGCCCGACCGGGAGAGAGCTGGTGGTGAAGCCGGGAGGCGGCCGGTCGGTGAACCCCATGCCAGGGTGTCATGCCGTCAGGAGAGACCTTTCTAGCTGACCACCTTGCCCAGGTCTGAGGCTCCCAGGAAACGGAGCAGCAGGAAAGTTACTGTACTAGGCTTTAGTGATATTCAGGGCGGGAGGAGTAGTTAAACTGTCTCGACTTACATAATCTAGTGGAGGAAAGATACAAAAGCAACCCGGCCGAGGCAATGATTGAGGAATTACATGCGTGAGCAACTCAGCAAGGTGGGCCACTGAGGCGGAATGAGGGTCAGATGCCAGGTGGTTCTCTAAATGCCAAGGCTACTGCAATGAACAAATCAGAAAAGCGCCTGTCCTCCCAGAACCCAGTAAGTCTAGACCTGGATCAGATAATCACAGATACACGTATCACAAACGGGGAATGCTGTACAGGGCAAGTACAGGAACTCACGAGAGCCTGTGGTGTGGAGTCTGCTCTTGTCTGGAGGTCAAAGAAGGCCTTCCTAATCAGCCGAGGTCTCGAGGTGACTCACCGGGCAGAGGGGGGAGAATATTCTAGGCAGAAGGACGATGAGGCAGACACCATGGACTGGAGGCGAAGACTAGAACCTGGGTGATCATTTCTGCCTGCGCTTAAGAAAGGTAAAATTTCAATTTTGGGCAGACATATCGAGTGGGCTGGAGGCACTGGTATTCACTAAAGTCAGAGGCTTTCATCTGTTTTATCCATACTGTGCCTCTAACACCTAGAACCGTGCCTGACATATAATGAGTTCTTAATAATTGTATATTGACTAAATGTATTGCCTCGTCGTTAACCTCCAGCTGGTAATGTTTGCTCGAGTTGTCCTCTCTCCTCCCAGTGAGGCAGGGAAGAGTAGGACAATGAGATTCACACTCATCATCAGTGCTGCTTGTTAGTAAATTTGAATTTGGTGTGGTCGGTAAGTGGAACGTCGTCGTCGTTTTTTAGTCTTTAGATTCTGGCCTTGAACTCCTGAGAACTGACTCTATTGGATATTGTGTGTTACTTTATAGCGCGACTACCTCCCACGGACCAGAACAGCTTCTCTACCATTCGAGAACATGCGTCTCTAACCAGGACCCACACCGCGCCTTGGTAAGTCTCTGATTGCTCGAAGGGGCCTCATTTAGCATTGACACTCCCATAGGTCTTAGTTAGGCCTCTCCGATTGAATGTAGTTGAAGCCCACTTGGGGTTTATTATCACGAGCCAGAAGTGTTTCGCCGATCACAAAGGAAGGAATATAATTGAATCTCCCAGGATACTGGGATCAGGAAGGAGAGGGCCGCCGGGAACCCCAGGAATCCTTCTCACATTTGTTCATTCCTCTTTCTCTGGAGAACTCTTTCCTTCGTTGCGCCATCCTCATGGCCAAAGATCACTAGTACCATAGTTCCTGAGCTTATTTACATGCCACACAGTTCCAGTACCCACAGAGACAGGCTCTTTTCAATCCCGATTCACAGTTCCTGTGAGAGGGCATTATATTACCCCAGCGTGAGTGGAATCGACTATGGCTCAGGGGAAGGCCAGTCGTACTGACGTGGCTTCCAGAAAGCTCAACTTTGTGAACCAAGTAGAAGCGAATTCTCAGAGAAAGAGGGATGGTTCACGGGCTTGGTGGACAAACCTCAAAATGTATCTGCACTCTCTAGTCTCATCTTTTAGAAGCTGCATTTTCAGAGTCCTGAGCCTTGTTCCAGAAGTTTCTTGGTTCCCTCTAAATGCCAAAGGACACAATCACTTTGAATAGCAGAATTCTGCGATGAGCTATATTTTCAGCCAAGACCGTAGAGACTCAGTCTGTGCTTCTGACTCAGGAGAGGGATGAGCGTCGATTCACAATCTTGTCCTCATCCCATCGGAAAAAGTGGCCACACTTCCTTACTTTTCCCGGTGACTTTGAATGGACACAAGAGAGCCCCAAAGGAGTGTTTTTTTTTATTTCCCCTAAATGATATGATACCTTGGTCTCTTTCTAGAAAGCTCATGAACTGTGTCACATGGAGGGCCTGGAAAAAGCAGCTTTCGAGAATTAGGAGTCATTTGCCCCAGAGTGGGACAGAAGGAAGTTGTATCTGGAAGGGGAGGGTGGAAGCCCCACGGGGGCCATGTCAGTTCCTGGCTGGCTTTCAGAGCAGCTGTAAGACATTGCTTTGACCTCACCTATATTTTTCGTTCTTAGCACTCGGACCAGCTATCTCCCTCCAGAAAGAAATAGCATTAGTTCTGCAAGATATGCCAATTCTGCTTCCAGAAAAGAGGACGAAATCTACATCCGAATGGTAATCCTATATTTTTCATACTCTTATTTTTCTTCGGCCCAATCAATATTCTTATGAGTTTATTAGACTTCAGAAAGCCCCATGCAATCTGAACGTGATCACTCGGCTGTAATAACCAGGTTCCAGTGTTTTCCAGACTGCAAACAAATATATTTGAGGCTGGTTTTCTTTCCTGCGATGTGCAGCTCTTGTACCATTTGGAGACCACAGTATTTCAGGAGTACCCAAGGCTGAGGCACGTGTAATAGGAAAATGGAAATGTCAGCAGTCCTTGGCACCAGGGCCATGATATCCTGTTTGACCCCAATAGGTTTGCAGTTCCCCGGGTATCTAGAATCTAAGCTTTGAAAACACACATGGCATGGATCCTTCCACCAGACTACTTAGTGGCCCTACCCTGACTGTCTCTGAACCTTTCCAAAGGATGAGACACTTAGAACCCCACTGAGAGGTGGCTACCGTGTCCTAGGCTGTGGATGTGTCTTAGTCTCCCGGAGAGTCCTGTTACAGGGTCTTTTGTAGATCTGAGTAGATAGAGACCTGACTTCTCTGTCCTTTGATTAACCATTTACAGCTCAAGAGTCCTAATCTCTTTCTGTCCTCTGATGTCCCTTCTATTCTCTTGACCTTGGATTCTATTGAGAGTATGAGTTTTTGAAGGGAGAAGGAGGGGCGTTCAGCACCTCTGGGAATCAATCAGGCACTTGAGCCAGATTTGCGCTCGTTCCGCAATTTAAAAAATGTTGGTACTTTACAGGCAATTCTCCGGAGAGAATTCCTCTTTAAACTATGAAATTTTGAAAAGAGATCTCAGAAGGACAAATTTCAAGGCAAACGCGACTATACTTTTGAGAAGATAATTCTTCTGCCCTTCCATATATACGTGAGGATAATAAGCGATTTAAAATCTAAAACCGGTAATCTCCACTGAAGCAGTCGTTAAATGCTTCGTTTTGCCTTTCTAGTTGATACAAATTGTGCTGTAAGCGCACTTAACCATATGCAGTTGGAAAGTGACTCATGTACAAATCTGCTGTGATATTCCCAATGTTTTTCACACTTAGTAATGGCCCTTGGGAGACTGGTAGAAGAAAACACTCTTACAAAGGATGCTGACCAGCTGTGCTCTGTCTCCAGAGAACAGAAAAGGGAAGTGAATGTATAACCGAAGAGAAGCAAGTGCATAGTCATTCCAGGCACTAGCAGTCCATTCCTGATCTTGGAGGCTGTGAGAAAGAGCAGCGTTTCATTAACAACATGGTTAAAGGTCGATTTCTTGCCTAAGTTTATAATCATTGCCTAACGACTGTCTCTGCTCATTGCTAGGTAATACAACACAGTAGATCACGAGCCCAGAATAACTAGCCAAAGGAAGTGACTCCTGTGAGGGAACCACCATATACAAGTGTTTTTATTTTTTAATTTTTTTTTAAATGCCAGTTTATTTTTTTTTCATACTATATATACATACATTTTTTAGCATTTTATTTTCTTATTTTCCCTCTCCCCCATATAAGTGTTTTTAAAGGCCGTCCCATCTCATTCAATCGTGCGCTTTATTTTTAACTTCACTTATTCGAGATTTCCAAATGACTTTGATTTACATTATTTCACTCATCCCACACAGCAATCCTATGTGGTAGACAGAACTAAAATAATTCGATTTGGGTTTTGCACATAATCCTATGCGTTATTTTTTTTTCTTTGAGGACAAGTTCTGATCTGAATGTAAAAATTTAGGCCAGGGGCTGAAATACGAGTTTTGTTTTATTACTGTATCCTTCTTTAGTTACTTTAAACTTGGGTTGTGAAATTTATAAAAATTTAGAAGAATGAGCATGATTTCAATTTATGTTATCTCTTTTCTATGGGGTTTTCACACTCTTTAACTTTAATAGTTTTGTAAGGTTTTTATGATAGAATTCTGAACTCCTTAATCTCACATTAAAGTTTTATATGATATTATAATAACTTCAGTTTTTAGATTATCTTACAGTGAAATTGACCTTTTCCTGGTGTGCAGTTCAGTGAGTTTATTTTTATTACCGCAATACGTTTAACATCCATCACCACACAGTTAACATTTTTTTTCTTGCGATGAGAGATTCTTAGATCCACTCTTAGCAACTTTCAAATATATAATACAGTACTGTTAATAGTTACCATGCAATACATTACATCCCATGACATATTTATTTTAGCGGTGAGTTTTAACATACGCATAGATTCGTGGAACCACGATCAGGACACAGAACGGCTGCGCTACTCTAAGACACTCCCTCGCTTCACCTTTACATAGTCACATCCTCCCCACAAGTCCATTCCCTGGCAACGACTGATGTGTTCTTCATCACTGTACTTTTCCTTTTCGAAAATCCACATAAATGGGCTCGTGTAGTCTTCCATCTTCTGAGACCGGCTTCTTTCACTCCGCGTAATATCTTTGAGATTCATTCAAATCGTGACACGTGTCAATAGTTTTTTTATGTTTTGCTGCTGGTTAGTATTCAAGTGCGCGGATGTGCGGGTTTGTTGATCCACTCACCCACTGAAGGACATTAGGATTGTTTCAAGTTTTTTGGCAATTATATATTCGTGATTATGTATTCATGATAATTATGAATTGTTATAAACATTCTTTTACAGATTGTTTTTGGGTTTTTTTTAATTTTTTTTACTGTAGTGAGTCGTATAGCATAAAATTTACCATCTTAATCGTTTTTAGATGGTTGCTGTGCAACCATCGCCACCATCCATTTCCAGAACTTTTTCATCGTCCTAGACAGAAACTCTGTACCCATTGAACAAATAACTGCCTAATCCCTCTCCCCCGAGCCCCTAGTAACCTCTGTCCTACTTTTCGTCTTTGTCAATTTGCCTATTGTGGGTCCTTCATATAGGCGGAATCATACACTATTTGCCCTTTTGCATCTGCCTTCTTTCATTTAGCATAAGGTTTTCGAGATTCATCCCTATGGGAATTTTCATTCCTTTTTAAAGCTAATACTCCATTGTACGCAGGAACCACATTTTGTTTATCTATTCATCTGTTGGTGGACATTTGGATTGTTTCTACCTTTTGGCTGTTACGAATAATGCTGCTATGAGCATCAGTGTACAAGTATGTGTTTGAATCTTGGCTTTCAAGTCTTTCAGATATATACCTAGAGGGGGAATTGCTGGATCACATGGTAATTTATGTTTGAGTTTGGAGGAACCACTAAACTGTTTTCCACAGTGGGGAAACCTTTTTATGTTCCCAATAGCAACGAAGAATGGTTCCGAATTTCTCTACATCCTCATGGACACTCTCTCTTTTTGTTTTTTGTTTGTTTGTTTGTTTTGTGTAACAGCCATCCTAACGGGTGTGGAATGGTATCTCATTGTGGGTTTCATTTGTATTTCCCTAACAGCTAGTGAAGTTGAGCACCTTTTCATGTGCTTATTTATCATTTTTATGTCTTTGGAGAAATGGCTAATCAACACTTTTGCCCATTTTTGAATTGGGTTGTTTGTTTTTTTTTATTATCGAGTTGTAGAAGGATTTTTTTGTTTTTTAAAAAAATACATTATAATGTGTGTGTATAATGTACTATTTCTTTTAGATATTTTAGATTTAAAAACCCTGTAAAAACGTTGAAATGTAGAAAACTAGAAAGGAAATTAAAATCTTCCAAATAATTTTTTAAATACTTTATAGATATAAACCCCTTATCAGATAACGATTTGCAAATATTTTCCTCTATTCTGTGGGTTGTCTTTTCACTGTCTTGATACTGCCCTTATACGTACAAAAGTTTTTGATTTTGATGAAACCAATTTTTTCTTTCTTTTATTGTCTGTGATTTTTGTGTTATATCCAATAAATCATTGCCAAATCCAATGTCACGAGGTTTCCCCTGTTTTTCTTTGAGAGTTTTATAGTTATAGCTCCTATGTTGAGGTCTTTGATCCTTTTTGATAAATATAAATTTGAAAAATATAAATTTTTGTATATGGTCTAAAGTTAGGGTCTAACTTCACCTCTCGCATATAGAGATCCAGTTTTCCCAACATTATTTGTTGGAAAGACTGCCCTTTCCCCATTGAATGGTCTTGGCACCTTCATTGAAAATCAACTGACCGTAAATGTGAAGGTTATTTCTGGGCTCTTTATTCTGTTCCATTGGTCTATATGTCTGTCCTCATTCCAGTATGACACTGTCTTGATTTCTATAGCTTTATAGCAAGTGCCAAAATCAGGAAGTGTGAGTCTTCCAACTTTGTTCTTCTTTTTCAAGATTGGTTTAGCTATTTAGGGTTCCGTAAGATTCCATGTGAACTTTAGGATGGGCTTTCCTATTTCTGCAAAAAAAAAAAAAAAGTCATTGGAATTTTTCATAGAGAATGCTTCGAATCTGCAGATTGCTTTGCTTAATGTTGTAATCTTACCAATAATTAAATCTTCTAATCTACAAGCATAGGATGTCTTTTAATTTATTTATGTGTGCTTTACTTTCTTTTAACCACGTTCCGTAGTTTTCCGTATACGAATCTTTGTCTCCTTGGTTAAATACATTCCTAAATATTTCATTCTTTTTGATGCTGTTGTAAATGAAATTGTTTCCTTAATTTCCTTTTCAGGTTGTTCCTTGTTAGTGTATAGAAATGCAACTGAATTCGGGGTGTTGATTTTGTGTCCTGAAACCTTGTTGAATTTGTTTATTTTTTGTTTATTGACTTTGTGTGTGAAACCTTTAGAGTTTTCTAGGGATAAGACAGGGATAGGACTGAAAGTTCCAACCCTCTAATCATATGCGGGGTTCTCCTGACAGCCAGCCCCCATCCTTACCAGGGGTCCAAAAGTCAACTCATTAACATAACAAGAGACACCTTTGCCACACTCAGCACTTAGGAAATTTCAAGGATTTGGGGAGCTCTGAGCCAGGAACTGTAGACAAAGACCAAATATATATGAGAAATATATTTTGGTCATCTGAATGACCAAATATATATTATGACATCACAGTACTGCCAGCACATATCCTATGATTCCACTTGTATGAAATGTCTAGAATAACAAATCTATAGAGACAGAAGTTAGATTAGTGGTGGCTCCTAGAGCTTGGGGAGATGGGCTGGGGGATGATGGCTAAGGAGTGTAAGATTTCTTTTGGGGTGAGGAAAACATTCTAAAATTGATTGAAGTGATGCTTGCACAAATACGTGACTATACTAAATACTACTGAATTGTATACTTTAAATGGGAGAATTGTTAAAAAAATAAGTGGTAAAGAAGGTTTTAATAAAATAAATCCAACGCTACACAAAGTTAAGAATATATACAAACAAGTTGGATTTCTCCCAGGCATACGAAGTGGTTTTAACACTTAAGAATCTGTTCGTGAGCATCTTGGTAAAGATGGCAGACTGACCACAGGCTTTTACTTTCCCTTCATCCAAAATGTACTCCAAAGTCACAGTAAAGGGATTTGTTAAAGGCATAAACCCACAAGGATATGAAGAATTGGAGAAGACGGTAGTAGTAATATTGGAAACTGGAAAGCAGATGGATGGCAAATGACTTATCAGACCCAACGAAGTTAAATCCTAAACACACTGTGGGAGGGATAAGAAGCCACTTAGAATAGCCGGGGGGTTCAGGAATTGCCCATGTCACCTAGTTCTGGAAGTAGGGCAGAAGGGAAAGGAAAAGAAGGGGTAGTGGTCAAAAGTCTGCATAAGCAGCAGGTCAGTCCAAGATCCCCCTCCCCCACTCCATGAAGGTTTACTGCTGTGACTTCCCATCTCCTACTCCAGAGAAAAGTCAAAGTGTTAGTCTCTGGAGAGAGTTAAACAAAGGGTCTCTGTACTGGGGCCGCGGGGCGGGACGCAAGACACATTTGACCAAAAATACTATACTAAAAACAAGGTGATTAAGTAAATATGCAAAATGGATTTGAGGACCATTCCCAAACCCTTGCTTTAGCCCCTCTTTTTCAGAATGTTGACAACCAGACATTTATTTACAACTGAGTCTGGAGATTGGAAGGCTGTTCTCTGGGCTATCTGAGCAGCCCAAGAGGCAAGACCTGGGTCGTGACATTGGGGGTTCGCTAAGAAAATCGTCCAGTGAGTTGACCTTGCAGTGAGCTCCACTGCTGATGAGCACAACCCATGTACTCAAAGCTTTGGATCAGCTTTTTTGGTCTTTCAGTCTTAAATATGAGCAGACGGCCGATGATTTCATCAGACATTTCAGGAAAGCTTTAGCATGAAGGATAGAGACCAAAACCAACAGATTGGAGGAATCAAAAATGATGCCAGGAGAAAGGTTTCTTTAAAAATCTATTATTGTAACCAATATTCTCTGAGAGATGAGCTATTATAACCATAAATTTAAAGAATCTATTAAGTCAGTCAAGCACATTAATATACTAAGGAGAAAAATGATGTGTTCTCATTAGATGCAGAGAAGATATTTGATAAAACTCAACATCTGTTCACGTATAGGAACTTGATGTATGACCGGAAGTTACACTGGGGAAAGGATGGTTACTTATGTGGGGTTAAAAAAATGAATCGTATCCCTATTTTATTGCCATATATTAAAATAAGTTTAGGCTAGACTATTACTTAAACGTGAAGGGCAAAACTTTATAATATTAGGAGAAAATATGGGGAAACAAATTATGACCTCAGCATAGGAAGGATTCCTTAAACAAAATACAAGACCAGGCCACTCAGGAAAATATTGAGATATTACGTTAAAAGAACAAGTATAGACTGCGATGGGCTATTTGCAATGCATATAAGCAACAAATGATTATTCTCAGGATGTATGAGGAAATATTGATAAAAATACAAATACTCCGATGTAAAAATCAGTAAAACATGGAAAATTGAAACACAGTAAGGTACCATTTTCCCTGTATCAGGTCAGGAAAACTCAAAAGTCAGACAATACCAAGTGTTGTTCTCCAGGATGGGGAGCAATAAGAGCTCGTATACACTCCTGGTTGGTACAACCACAGCTCCTTTAGAAAATAGTTTGGTGACAGGAAAGTCAAAGATGCGCACATCCTATAACCCAGCAATTCTACTCCCAGCTACACGCCATAGAAATCCTTCCACAGGTGCATGGATGTTCATGACAGCTTTGCTTCTAAGAGCCCCAAATGGAAAGGAACGCAAATGCCCATTAGTGGCGCAACAGTTCAATAAATTATGCAGCGCAATCATCTATCCCAATGAAAATGAAATAGGGCTAGTGCATCGATGTCAGTGAGTGTGACATATGGAATATGGAGCAAAAATTAAAGTCACCAAAAATACCATATGGTTCTATTGATAGAAGTTGAAAACGAGCAAAACTAAATAATATGTGATTTAAGGATGCTTACACCCTCATAAAACTGTATTTCAAAAGGAAAAGGAATGAAATTGATAGAAGTGGAGCTGACACTTGATGGGTTCCGGTGGTAAATCTATGAGTGAGTGTCGCACACATGTGATCACTGTTTGTATTGTGTAAAGTATCTTTCAATGCATCGGGGGTGACTTTGCTAGAACTTTAGACTTTAATAAGTGTGGTTGATCTTTTCAGGATTTAATCTCTAAGGTCTCACGGACCTGTCAGATTCATGAAACAAGTTCTCAGGGGAGATTTTGGCCAACTGTTTCCATGGTGAATAAAGGTAGAGCTTCATGTGAAGGCTGAACTGGCTGTTTTGTATCTCAAATGCCTCCTGTCACTCACGGGTCTCATGAAACCAGTCTATTGGGGTGTAACAGCAGCTGCTCAAGTGAAGACTCACCCTCCTTCCTTTGGGCAGCCTGGCCAGACATCCTTAACCCGAGTCCTGTGATGTTGGTTTCTAGGATGGACACCGAACAACCAACTCCGTGAGCAGTGGTGCTGTGACGTGGAAGAAGAAATGCAGCCTGGATTATTTAGCCCTGGACTTCAATACGGTGTCGCCAGTCCCTGCACAGCAGGTAGGAAGGACTTCATGTCTCAGAATTCCCAGGAGATTTCATTTCTGTTTAGATTTTTCTGATGATTCAACTGTGCTTGTTCTCTTTGAAAAGTCTTAAACATACAGACATGTGCAGTGAAGAATATTAAAATCAGCCATGATTCTGCCACCCAGAAATCCTGCTGTATTCCCTCTGGGGTATGTTCTTTGGCTGTACAGGCAGACCTCGTTTTCTCACACTTCGCTTCATTGTGCTCCACGCATGTTGCGTTTTGTTTGTTTGTTTTTTGTTTGTTTGTTTTTTACCAACTGAAGGCAAAACCATCCACCAGCAAAAAGATTACGAGTCTCTTGATAATAATACTCGCTTTTTCGCAGTGGTCTGGAGCCAGACCTGCAGTATCTCCGAGGTCTGCCTGTATATGTATAAGTAGTATTCATGCCCTTCAAAACTTAGACCCTCAAGGTCATCGAGAAAATTTTCTGGCAGAGATGACAGCGAGGTAAAGGGCACTTCAGGCGTAGGAAGGGCCTGCTGAGGGAAAAAGTCATAACCTAGTTTGGCTAGACCCTAGGGGTTGGTGACAGGCGCTCTCAGTTCGAATCGGAACTCCTCAGTAACAGACCCCAAAGGCCAGGTTGGGCACTTTGGACTCTTTTGGGTAGTAGTCTTGTCCGCAAAGTGAGGATCAGAAGGAATAGCACCTATGTCGATGCCCGTTGTGGGGATTAAATGTCTTAATACATGTAAGCAACACTTGGCACTCACTAGTGTCGCTCACTGCACACTGTAAGCCATGGAATGAATGAATGGTCAGCAGCGGAGAACAGCTAAATATTTTTGAGCAAGGGATGGTCTTAATCTAAACTGTGCCCAGTGATGCATCGTTTGATGAAAAAAGCAAAAAAAAACTGCTGAACAGGATGTACGATATGATTTGTGTGTGCACACGCGCGCACAGAAAAAAATCTGGAAGACTTCTTCTTCCTTTTGCCGAATGAACTCCCATTTCTCGTTTACCTTGAATTTCATTCCAAAAGCCCAAACTGATTCTCCAGAAAAGGAGAGGCTTTTTGACTGGTCGCCAGTGGGACCATCCACTACAGGCCAGGGCCTCAGCGTTCCAGGTCCTCTTCAGTCCGGGGTCCAGGCAGGAGAAGCTATCTGAGGCGTGCTGGTCTCCTGGGAAGGGAAAAGGAAGAGAGAGGTGGCATAAGCACAGGGTGTGTGCCTCTTTTCTCTATGGGATCGGCACGTGTCACTTCCACTCATATTATATCAGTCAAAGCAAGTCAAATGGCTCGAGCAAAGTCAAAGGGGGCAGAGGCGAAGAGAGATTTCTACACATGCACACAATGCATGCTAACGCTTCTGTAGGGAACGACCCAAGAAGGGGAAGCAAATAAATACCTGATCACACGGTCACCTACCTAGAAAGACCGACGGTTTCCGCAATTTTTAAGTCAATGTAATGAAAACCTTTCTGTTTTCCCCTTTCAGAAGAAACCTCTTTCAGAAGATCACAAAGTCGACTACGTGCAAGTGGATGAGCAGAAGACGCAGGCTCTCCAGAACACCAAGCAGGAGTGGACAGACGAGAGGCAATCCAGAGTGTGAGCAGGGTGGGCTTGGGCCGCGTGTGACACAGGGCAGCCTGGGGCTTGTTTTGCGGTTTGCTTTCACTAGAATCACAGGGATGTTAATGCACGTGGAGACCCACAGAGAATGTGTAATTTCCGTAGGCTCGGCAAGAAACTTTGGGGGAGAGGACCGATTTGTACACGTTGAATGGAGAGAAGAAGGAAGCCATGCCCTCCCAGAGGGGGCTCTGAGAGACTCCACCCCCCACCCCCCACCACCACCACCTGTAGCAGCAGTTTCATCCTCCGGCCACACTTGTCTGCACCCAGAACCTCAGGGATAATTCGAGTTGGCTCCACAGCCTCCAACTGGGATGCAGACAACTCCATTCATTCATGCAGGGCAGGAACAAGAAAATCAAGACTTGAGAATGTTTTTCCGAGACTTCGGTTAAAAGTTTCTCCAATGGAGAATTTGGAGTGCAGATTGGAGCCAGTATTGCTAATGGGACAGGAAGACCCCGGTTGACTCCAATCCTTGAAACTGACCTCTCTCTTGTGCTTCCATTGACATTATAAATTTTCTCAGCAGAGAAGTCCCCGGAGGCCATCTTCTTTGTCCCATCCGCAAGCCCAGCGGTGGTGGGAGAATCTGCACTCCTTACTCCAAAGACTTTAGCAGACGAATCATTTCTACCCCCCAAAGACAATTCAAGTGACAGGGGCAACGAGTCCCGGGCTACATGATGAACATATCAGATGACACCGGTGGCTCTAAAGACATCAAGGTTAAGCAGCTACCTGTGGCTGGGTGTTCCATTGCTGTTGGCCTTTTCCCAGCATATGCTGGTTGACATGCATCATCTCTTCTCTTCCCTGAACGACCTCGAAGCTCGACTTGGCAGAGATTGTTGCTCCCACATCGAAGAAAAGAAAATCGAGAACCACAGGAGATGGGTGCACTTTGCCCAAGATCATTCATGGAGCCAAGACAGAGTCAGGCTGAGAATAGAGTTGGCCAGACTGCCCACTGCAGGCTCATTCCACCGTCTCACGCTGCCTCTGAGGATTTTAATGACCTCAGTTTGGTCGACCTCGGAGACGTGTGGGAAACACGTACAGACACGAGATGAGTCATCATCTCCTCTTCCTTTCTTAGGATTTTGAACAGGTGCTTTTATACTTGAAAGGTATGTGTGTCAAGCCAGGGTTTCTTTGAGTGGTGTTCAAATGGGGAACTCTAGTGAAGTCAGTAATTACCATTAGAAATACCTCCCGACAATTAGTGTGAAATCCATTCTTGGACCGAGTGGTCCCCTTGTAATGTTGTTTCCCCTTAAGCTACGTAATGCTGGCAGAATTTTTGCCACCTTGGGAAGGCACAAATTGTCCCTGGCTCTCCTGTGCCAGACCCAAGCTTGTTAGTGATAAAGAGTTATGAGTAGGAAAAAAACGAAAACCAATGAGTTGCTTTCTCAGGTTTCCTGGCTGATATATTCCTTCTGCTTTAATGCTGACCAGGTCCTGAGAGCGCAAACGCTCCCACTTTGTGACGAGGGCGTCGTGTCTCCCCTTCCTTTATTGGACACTGGGGTTCAGGGGACTCAGATGAAAGTTTCACTCAGGCGTGGGGCTTGAGTTTAAGCCCCTTCTTGATCTTTCTGAACACCTGTGGCCAGAACACAGATCTGAACAACTGAATATTCAGTAGATACTGGTCTGTCATTTCAACTGACAACTGTGTCTTCTATATGAGGTTGGCTCAAATAGGCAGGCAGGTCAATGACAGTCAGGGTTAGTTAGGGCAGTTGTAGGCTTTGCTGCACAGATTCAGGGCTTCAGACTGCCCTAAAGTTAAGCCAATGCCAAAGTCTTAGTTTTTCGGATCATAAAAAAAGTTTGATGTTCGAAGCAGCAGGATCTAGTGACACCATTTTCTTCCTGGAGCAGGGAGGCGGGGCGGGGAATCACCGAGTTCTTTAACGAGTTGAGTTCTTAGCCTAGACAGAGCAACATGAGGGTTCCCTGCACCCCAAGGCCAGCTCTATGTCACCAGACACAGAGGCTAGAGCCCATAAAGACCTGCCATCTTCCCTATGTGACTTGCAAAGAGTCACAGAGCCTCAGGCAACTATCCAGGGCTGCTGACTGCCATTTCCCATAGATGGTCACTTCCTCGTATGTGGGGCCACCTGTGTTTAGACCACTGAGTACCTGACAAAGGCCAATGCAGAAAAATTGCATGCCCAAGTGTCAAGAACTACACCAGATTGAAGATAGATAGAATGGGAAAGAAAATAAGCTGAATTTATGTCAATGGTGAAATGTCATCCAATTGACAAAAAGAGAAAATTTGTTTCTATAGAATATTTCCAGGGACACATTTGCTGCACGAAGTAATCTACACCTCAGTGGTGTGACTTGTTTGGAAGTGATTAGTTTTTGTTTTGTTTTGTTTTTTTTTTGTTTTTTGTTTTTTTGTTTTTGTTTTCGTTTTTTTTTTTTTTAAGAGGTGACTTCGCCCTTGTTTTCAGGGTGTATGCAGTTATGTCCTGCTTTGATAAAACTGCTAATGGATGGCTACTCAAAAACAATGATTCAGGGATACAAAGTACAAGTAGTTTTTGAGTTGACAGCAGTGTATGCTGTTGAGAAGGCACCGTAAGTCAAAATGGTGCAGGGTAAATCTTGTTTTCTGGTGGATTTGACCAGGTTCTGAGATTTATTTTTCAACAGAAATCATCCCAGACTCCATCCCGAGTCAAGTGTGCATGACATTTCTGTGTATTAGGCAGAGCATTCCTTCCTGGAAGATTTAGGAATCGACATACAGGACGGTGCAGCAATTGATTCCACGTCGTTTTTTGTAGTTCCTTTTTGTTTTTCGTTTTCTTCCATCTCGTTTTATTAGGAAATTCCTCCAGATCAGGAGTTGAGCAGTACAGAAGGGGGTACCGAGGGGGTCTCAAGCCTGCAAGTCCCTAAGGCCACAATCCCATAGGAATTTAGGAGATTAAGCTTTCCTTGGGGAGGGAGATGCCCTGTGCCCCAGCACACAGTCTGGCCACATGGGCATGGAGTGAGCCTGAGGGAGTCAGCGTCCAGGCCACTATACCGTGGAGCAAGGATCAACTGCATCATACATACCTTTGGGTCCCAGTCGAGACTGAAGGCTCCCTCAGGTCTGGCTTTGTCCTCTCAAGGCCACCTCAGTCCCTTTTTATATCATCTTTGTACCCACACTCACACTGATCTTTAAATTTGTGTTTCTACCAGTTCATTTCTGGCATTAATAAAAGTCTTATACGGAGGAATCATGACTAAAGTTCCTTGTTTGCTTTAAGCGATGGCATTCAAAATAAAGGCAGAACGTGTTTTGCAAGCCGAGTATGTGAAAATAGACTCCATTGCCATTTTCAAGTACAACAAACTAAACCTGGCTCACGTGCAGTGACCTACATCCATGTTATTTCGCTGCAAACAGAAGCGGCCATGAGTACCGCTTCTACTCAGCCAATCCGTATCTTGACAGCTTATTTCTTAATCAGCAACTGGCCTCAATAATTGGCAGTAAAATCAATGGCCTTCCCTGATACATACCGCGTGTAACGTGACCTATGTCATTACTGACATTTAAAAGCAACAGCCTTCCTCTCGTTAGGAGGGAATCTCTTGTGCCAGCACCTCCCTTCTCTCGATGGCTGAAGCTTCCAGATGCCCCGGGTGCTGGGTCAGTGGCATCTCTGGGTCACGAAGCGAGGCAGGGACAACCAGAGTGTGGGGGCTTGGGCCTGTGGAGAAACAGGCAGAGGCAGAAGGAGGCCTGGGCCAGGAAATCCTGAGGCTGAAAGGAGGAGAAGCCACGTGAAATTCCTCACCTCCATGAATGCTTTGACCCGACACACACTCTCTAGACTAAGTCTCTGACCCAAAGAAGCACGGGTTGGCCCACAGGGCTGACCTGAAAATCAGGGCTGTGGAACCTAATCTAAAAGGTCTTTGAACTCCAGGCCCCTTATACCCTGGTGCCTTTACCAGACACTTTCCTAAGTTCCCAGCTTCCTACTTTTTTATTTCCCTTGGACTTAAATTCCGTTTATTGTTACTTCCTTATTTTAGTTGTGCCATTTGTTTTATAAATTTAGTTTTTATTTTCTGCAACAGCGAGTGTGGCATAGGAGTAGGCTGGACGACCCAGGGGCCCAGTCGGGGAGAGAGCAGAGCTGCGACACAGACCCCACACGCATAGGTGACACTTCATTTACAACAGAGTGGACATTGAAGAGCCTCGGGGACCTGACGGCCTTTTCAGTCAAGGGCGTCGGGGTCATTGGGCGGAGACCCATGTGAACAGTAATGAACCTTGACCCCATTCTGCCACCATGCACAAGCATCGATTCCAGGTGGACCTCAGTGGGGGAGGCAGAAAAATCACTGGCATATCTTCTGCTTTTATCGGATCTGTTTTACTTCTATTCACCACTGTTGTTTTGATCTAGGTTTCACGGTCAAAACCCCTTTTAATGAGTCTCAATGTTCGTTAGCCTTCATGTAAAAGAACACAACCTAATTGTTTCATGTCACTTGACATTTTAAATTATTTTCATTATTTTGTTCCTCAATTTGAGACTTTTAATTCATTATTCTATGGTGACAGAAGTCAGAAATTATTGATTGGAAGGGGGCATGAGAGAACTTTCTGGAATGATAGAAATACTCTACCTTAATCTAGGTGCTGGTTATATGGGTGTATGCATAAGTAAAATTTGTCAATCCATAAATTCAGTATTTGTACCCTTTACTACATGCAAACTATATATCAACAAACCAGTTAGCAAGGAGAAAAAAGACTTCTATGGAATTAAAGCTAATGCAAGACACACGACCACGAACCATATTAGAAAAAAACTACAGGCAAAATTTATTATCTTGGATGTAGAAGTCGTTTAGCGGTCAAGCACAAAAAAGGAGCAATAAAGGAAATAAATGTTTCATTTGATAATTCCATTTAATTCATAAATTTAGTGACCACCCGCT